GACTACAGCCGGATGCGATTGCTATCACCGAAACATGGTTGTTAATGGGTATAGACTTAACTCCACTCATACCTGGGTACATCTGCATTAGAGCAGACAGAGTAAGTAGCCGGAAAGGTGGGGCGTCGCTCTATACATTCAAAATGACATAGGAATCAGGTCGACGTTGTCGGAAGCTCATGACAGTGGCACCTGTGAAGCCGCAGGTTTTGTCATTAACTTGAACAAAGGCACTGTAATTATAGGGGTTATTTATAGAAGTCCTACCAGCCAAGCTGACAATTTCGTTATAAATCACCTCAGGACGTGGAGTAGAAAGAATAAGTGTCTAATAGTAGGTGATTTTAATGCCCTGCATATTAATTGGGAGGAATTAACATCAACTACTTCGTACAATTGTTTCAATAGGGAACTAATACCGGCAGTACTTGAATGCGCACTTGTGCAGCATATGGATGCACCAACAAGATACCATCCTGAACATGATCCGTCCACTCTAGACTTGGTGCTAACACACCAGAAGGAGGATGTTGGTAACATTAGGTGCCTGGCGCCGCTAGGCAGTAGTGACCACATAGTTATTACTTTTATGTTCAGGATCCAGGCCGTCATACATAGGTCAACAGCCGCTCGCCCAAACGTTTGGAAAGCGAATATACCTGCAATCCGAAATGCAGCAACCCTAGCTGACTGGTCTGTTAACACACACCAGACTGTCGAGGAGGCTTGGATGGGATTTAGGAATACACTAGAGTGCGTCACTGCACCCTTTGTACCTTGGTCTACGCCTCGAAAATTATCTCATAAACCACCTTGGATTAGTAATGAAATAAGGAGGTTACTAAGAAAACGAAAGAACTTATGGGACCGGTTTGCTGTGACTGTAGGGGATGAGTTTCGGGTAGAATACCGCAAAGTTCGAAACCTTTGCAAGTTTGAGATTGACAAAAGTCGTATAGAGTATGATAGACAGTTAGTACTGGATTGTGTGCATTATCCAAAAAGACTGTTCTCGTATATCAAACGTAGGACTGAAACTAGTAGTGGCATACCGTCCCTCATTAGCAACACAGGAGAGGCATGCATTTTCATGTAAATTTGTAAATTTATACGAAATACATTATTATTATCAGACGAAACAAAAGCTGAGGTGCTCTCCGAATATTCCTGTGATGTTTTTTCGTCTAATCGCACCACCCAGGGGTGTAGCGAGGTAACTGGTGTAGCCCCTAAAATGCCCCCAGTTGTGGTAGATGATGTAATGGTTCTGAAACTACTGTCTAAGTTGAAGCCAGGTAAATCACCTGGACCAGACGGACTTCACCCTAGATTGCTAAGCTCCCTGGCGGATATAATATACATTCCACTTACGGAGATTTTTCAGATGTCTCTGACCCAGGCTAGGTTACCCAGAGACTGGAAAGATGCTTTTATAAGCCCCATCTTCAAAGATGGGAATAGACAGTTAGTATCTAACTACCGGCCTGTAAGTCTGACCTGCATTATAGCAAAGGTGTTAGAAAAACTCATAAGGGACCAGCTCTTAGCTCATACGGAAAAACATGGCTTACTGGCAGTGGAACAGCATGGATTCCGACCAGGACGATCCTGCTTGACAAACTTACTGTTAGCTAGGGAAGATTGGGTCGAGGCCAGGGATAAAAACCATCTACTGGACGTTGTCTTTATCGATCTTAGTAAAGCATTCGATAAGGTATCCCACTTAGGTCTTAGTAAACTTAAACATTTTTGATTAGACCAACGCTTATGCGAGTGGTTTAGTGACTACCTGATGGATAGGAGACAGAAGGTAAGGGTTAATGGTGTACTGTCAGGGTGGAAAGCAGTACTAAGTGGAGTACCTCAGGGAACGGTACTTGGCCCCCTGCTATTCTTATTGTACGTAAATGAAGTGCCAAAAATTCTTACCTCATCTTCCTTACTATTTGCGGACGATATTAAGATATGGAAAACCGTAAATAGTAGCGATGATAGGTTGGTACTACAAAACGATCTAGACAAATTAACCGAATGGGCTAACCTTTGGAGTCTGGAAATTAATTCCAAGAAAAGCGCGGTAATGCACCTAGGTCAGAAGTCTTACACGTACTGCCAGATGTTAGGGAACAAAAGGACTTGGGAATTATTGTTAGCCATGACTTAAAAACAACGGCGAACTGTAATCGAGCCGCAGCTAAGGCTTTTCGAATGCTATGGGCACTTCGAAGATCTTTCAAACCATTAGACGAGGGTATGTTCCAAGTACTCTATGCAACATGTTTAATTACAATTGTTTGGCTGAAGGTCCGCAGGCAAGCATCCACACCATTTGGCACGTTGCCGCGTTACGTTTGTTCGTTCGTGAACGATCTCCAGCTAGTTGATCAGACAACATCGCACATTCCGAAATATACTTTGTATTTCGGACGATCACTATGGTGTTATGCTTTGTCATTGGTCTAGGAGGAAGAAATATTATGGAAGTAATGTGTATTACACCGTGCATCACCATACATTGTACTATCGGTGAAAGTCAACAACTCTGACATTTGCATTCAGTCAAGTTGGCAGGTTCCGAATAGACGGCTGGTTGAGGTTCGTGGGATGCTAAGAAGCGATGGCTGGAACTCCCTCTTTACGTTAAGCTGATGGCTACCAAACTGACGCCGCTTCGAATTTAATTCCCATTTGGTTTTCTTGGTCATCTGAAATATGATGGATTTTCTCTTGTTTATGGCGATCTTTCTAGTTTTCGGTGGCTGTATGCATACACTCTGTCTCTTATGGAAACCATAGCGTTTGAATCTCACTATATACGGACAGCCACGAATTGCAAGATCTTGAATAAACTACTAAAGAATACGTGATACATTGCTGGGTCCTCAGAAGCACCTGCATATTCCATTTGTATTTGTGATTATTTAACATAGGACAAACTACAAGCAGTGTGAAGTCATAGTCATACAGAATACTGTGCTGGATAAGCGAAATAATGTATTTTGCGTTTTAGGGTCTTTACAGCACGACACATACTGTAAGCGATGTGATCGCTCAGAGATTGTTAGTGATTAAGGAATACAAGTAGCCAATTAGGAACTATATCGTCTTTATTATTTGCAAGATTTGCTTTTTTATTGGTCGGTGCTGAACACCTAAGGCCCTTCCGTCTGTGTGAATGGAATTCCCCGCTTCACTTGACCACTACCTTGCTAACACGATACAAGTTAAAAAAGACTGCTCATTGTCACTATTAAGCGCGGCATCAGTCGGTGATTTGTGTAATTATTTTGACATGAAAGTCAGTTACCAGATGGTCTCATTAACAGGCTTCCTGAAGTGGAAGAATCATCCGCAGACTGGCAATTAGTAAAAATACGGCTAGTAGTCGATAGGACCTAACATCACCCCTACAAGGATATGTTTGCTTCACGTAGACGATGTAAGCAGTATTAGATTCGTCCTACATCTAGGAAGCAGTGACCATGTAGTCACGACTGCAGAATTTATTATTAGGTCAGTGACAATCCATGCAAATATGTGACAATCAGATATGCCGCCATCAGGACTGCAGCATCCTTGGGCGTCTGGTAAGTTATCACTGACTTGAGTGTCATTGGCGCTTGGCTGGAACTTAAGAGTACCTGCGGTGCACTAACCCCCTTTTTCACCTTTATCTTTACCCAGCCATTCCACACACTTATACGAACAAATAGAAGAGCGATAAGGTTAGTATGAAAAATGAATCGTTTATGGGACCAGTTCATGGAAACTGGGAGGAAAGCATTTCAACTGAAATACTGTGCAGTTCGAATTGTCAACAAGTGTGTGCTTAGCCAGACTGGCATGGTACTGAAATGCTGGATTGTGGTCACGAATTGAAGGTAGGGGCAAAACAGGTAGTGGCGCGATGATACTCATAGACTATCAAATGAAGCAATGCCAAAATCCTTCACAAGTACTACTTTGACTTCTATTCATCTATTGATAATACTCACGAGGCCGATCAAGGTATCACCAACGCCATATAAGTTCTTCAAATCATGGTGGGCAATGTAGTAATGTAATGGCCACTATCTTAACTGCTTGCGCATAATTCATTCAGAGTCCAGTGGTTACATTCGGGTAGCGGCCAAACAGGTGTAATCCACACTCTCAAGTCTGCCACTCTTGATAACACTATGCATATATATCTAATCATAACGTTAGGAATTTTAAGAGGGTTCAGAAGCCAAGGGTGATCGATATTGTTAAGGAGTACCAGCTTTCTTCTCTTCTTATTAACTAACTACTAGAGGAAGTGGTGCCTTCATCTTCAATGGAGTCATTCAATGGAGGAGTAGGCAAGCAGACACACGCAATTTATAGCAGGCCTCAATTAGAACAATGTGTAGGAGTAGCTAGTCCATGCTTCAAGAAATTGTGTCCGAGTCTTAGGAGTGATACAAAGGGTAGGAACTACAATATTCAATGGTATCTCCCATCTTCTCTAAGGGAAGAGGCTGAGACATGTAGACCTGTTCTCACTATCATAATGGAGGAGAAAAGGTGACCAAATCGTGGCATATCTCATATTAAAGCGTGATTTGTGCATCGACCATACTAACCTTTTCCTTCATTCCAGGAGGTCATCACAAAAAGGTGCCCAAACACTAGGCAGATGAAGTACGTGTTGAATTTCAGTTGTCACATTGTGTGGTCAAGTTTTAATGGATCCATCGATGAATGCTAGAGAAACCTAGAGACTTAAAGAAACTAGGTCTCTACTGAGATACAGTTTCCAAGAGTCAAAATAGGTGAATCTAAAGTATAACAGCCCAAAACGAAACTACCTGTAGCGACCGATCAGATTCGTAAGAAGTAGAAGTGCACAACTTGCAATAAATGTGTATATACAGGTAATGCAATGTTTAAAAGTGGCTACGTAGGATAATATTCTTGTATATGTTCCAGAAAACCTCCTAGACCACAAAAGCTATGTTAATCTGAATCAAGGTTACAAACATTCCATGTCCAATCAACAATTGAATGTTGGACTGAATGTCCAGTAATTCAGAGCGTCAATTAAATACTGCTCTGTTTCTGCACGTGCGTTCTAAGTTGCAATGCTTTCTGCTAGAGATGCTTATCGTTTGCAAACATTGGCTAGGCGGGTAAGATTTGTAATCGTTTTCTATGCAATCAACTATACATAGTCTAGATTTTAATTGTGATTTTTTCTGTTTAATGTATTGACCTGAAAAGCAGATAATATGTTCATATTAATATTATTCCTTTGGGTTCCGGGCAACAGTAAAGACTAGACACCAAATTCGAATGGCCTTGAATCAACCAATGAGACGCCTCGACAATACATATGGATTGCATGGAGGATTTCATCATGAGCTGACAGCATTTGGAGAACCACTGGGAAACCTGGGAGTACTGGACAGCTGTTTCGTCCTAGTTTGTGACTCTGAGGATATATATATATATATCACCTGAGGTAATGGTGTAGTCAGTGGTGAAAGTCTGGAGATGTGATCTGTGGTTACTTCAGATTTTTCATGACCCTCCTTGATTTTAACTGTGTAATGATATTGGGATATCAGTTTGATGTCTTATTCTTGAGGCTTATGTACGTTTTAAGTTAAGTGCATGTTGAATTTCAGCTGTGATTGACAAATTCATTAAAACACTTTGTTTCTAGCTGTGCAGTTTGCAGTTCTGTCTTTTGAAGTCCCAAGAGTGATAAACAGGCTTCAACACCAAACTTGAATGTACACACATGTTTCATTGTTGTAGCGAAGTTGTGTCTACGCCCTCTACTACTCATTCAAGAAGAGAATAATTAACAGATAAAGCACTAACAAAGCCTTTAATTCTCAATCTAAGATCTGAAATTCTCTACTAATTACCCTCGTGTTTGCTCTGTTCATTTTTCCCGTAATCAGTTCTTTTCATTGGGAAATTAGTATGTACAAACTGGTTATATTAAAACTAATCTTAATTTGTTTTTCATCCTTTTCTATCTGAATTTCCTGTAGCTTCTGTTTCATTGCATAGGAATTAGTCAGCCTAGAATTTGACCTATTTCTAAATAAGCCATGATATTTGTGTTATCTTCGATAATTCACATGTCGAAGTGTTCTAGTCTGTCATCCTTTTCTCACGCTATCTTCGTTGATTCGCTGACTTTGACATCTATTGGTTTTACCATTTTTCTTCTTTTTTACAGGGAAAGGTTGAAATCACAGAAGAAGGCATTAAATTACTTGAAAAGTTGACGAAATCATTGAATTCTGCTAACACAACAAATGGTGGATGCCCCATAGCTGAAAGTCCAGTGAAAGAAAACATTTCAACGCCACATAGTGGTAAAAGCAATACATCTAAGAAAAGGAAACGTGTAGCTGCTCCTTCTCCTGAGAGAGTTAAACAACCTAATTGTGCGTTGAAAGATATTGTGCACTTTTATCCGGCTTTATCATCGAGCAGTCGAACTTCATCAAAGGGAACGAAGCACAATTCTGAAGGAGACGAACATTCTTCTCAATCTGGTATTATCGCTGGCACTTCTTCGTCAGTGCATATTCCTCCCTTTCATACTGAACAGCCGATAACATCTGTAAAACAACCCACCAGTGTCAGGTTTCTCGATGCTTTTGAATGTGGAGAGGAATGGCTTCCTGGCTTGTTGAAACCAACGAACTTGAAGAACTTTATCAGGTAAATTTGTTATTTTGGTTATATATTTCTAATATATATATATTTCTAATGTATATATATACATATATATATATGCCCACTGAGATTACTGTACAGTAAGTCCAGACCGATCGCTCCCACCTTAACGTAGTGGGGGGCTTTGTATCGGAATGATCCAACAAGCTACACTCGCTGGAAATATTGTTCCTGCAGGTCCTACCATACCAGGAAGGTTGTTAGGATAGCGATTGGACTAAAAGCATTCACCGACCTACTGTAAGATTTTGTAAACTATGCTTGGGGTCTGTGGGCGAAGTCGTACTGCAGGAGAACAGGAATGTAACAGCAGTAGGGTGTTTCCCTCAGATGATCAGCATCTCAGCTATGCTGTCTCTCCTCTCTGGAGAGAGGGGGTTAGAAAAGTTTGACGTCAAAAGTTGTACATCCCGACTTACCCCACGTATGATGTTCCGTAACCGGTGGCGAGTTTACTAGCACGGAACCAATCCCAGAAACCAGTTCATACAGGCCGTGCGTGACTGGCCTCAAGCAGTTGTCTCTTGGGCTCTGCTGTCACGCAACACTAACCCTCTCTCTGTTTCAGGTACCCGAAGAATCAATCAACTTCCACGGTGGTGTGGACAGCTGGGAAGTAACAACTGCCCACACACTTTCAAAAGCACACGAAGCCTTCTCGAGCATCATTCTCCTTCACCCACATCACCATTATCTGAATTCCCTACTACAGTCAGTACTATTCTTCAGCCTAGTGAATCATCTTCACTTCACTCTGTGACCACAAACAAAGATGAGAGCCATAGAAACACCCCGACAGCCTCTTAAAGTCACGTTGCCGACTTCATATAGGAGCATTCAACGTCAGTACCCTCCGACAAATCGGACAGCAGGCATCACTAGCAAAAACTCTGGCATCTCGAGGTATGGATGTATGTTGTGTTTCGGAGACATGCATACAAGACCCAAGTGTGGTCACTCATTTAACCCCACCTGCCCAAAAAGTTGAATCTGCAAAATTCACTTTAAGGGTGTCAGAAGGCCCTCAGATAGTTTGTGAGCACTCGCAGGTGTGAAGATAGCATTGAGTGTTAGAGCAGAAGAATCACTTTTGACTGGATTCCAGTAGATAGTCGTATGTGTGCGATCCGTTAGAAGGAGGTACGGCATTATCCGTCGCTGTCTTTTCATAATGCCCTCTTACGCCCCAATAGACTGCAGTTCGGATTAAATAAAGGATGACTTCCACCTGAAACTGTCTAATCTGCTGTAAAAAGCAAAACGCTCAGATATAGTTGTTTTATCAGGCGACTTCAATGCCCAAGTAGGGAAGTTGTGCTAGACTGAGAAGTAATTAGGTGGCACGTATGGAGTTCCCTGCCGACGAACCGACAACGGTGGTCGTCTTCTACAGTTTTGCTCAGATAATCATCTGTTCCTAGTCAGCACTAACTTTAGGCACCGAGAGAGACACTGCGTAACCTGGCGACCTCCATCATTAAATCAACGCTGGACTCAGATAGACCACATAGCGATAAGGTATCGTTGGCGAGGGTTAGTAAAAGACTGCCACTCCTTCTGGAACACATGCGTAGACTATGATCACGCACTGGTTCGCTCACGTTTATACTTACCACTAAACGGACATGAAAAATTGTTTTTCAGCGAAGCAGTTACTTCCCCAACTATATCGAAACTGTGAGTCCCTATTTAAGGAAGAAATAGTGAAACGAGTATCTGAGTTCGACAGCAGAACTCCTCCTGAGATAGCCTGGCACAACATACAGTTAGTTGTAGAGACAACACCCAATAAAACTATATTTCTTCTTCGATATTACTATAATTTTTGCTTCATATCTCTGTTTATTGTCTCTATTTTGCACTTCTTTTTACTCTATTTTCTTGCTTTGTGTTTTGCATGGAGTGTGGTGACTCGAATTGCTGCACATCGGTGTTGAAACCAGTCAGTCAGTGCACAGTCAGTTATTCAAGTGGGTTTAAAAAGTGAATAATTGTTATTATTTAAGTGGTTGGAAACAGTGAGTCTCCAGGAAGATCTGCTTACCTGACCAGCTGGAGTACACAGTGCTAGCAATAGTTGGAGACATGTTTACCACTGAACGAAGGACCTAGATGCATGAGATTAGCTACTATTATCATCATTATTCTCTTGAATTCCAACTGCAATGCAGGCTTCAACTGGGGCACATCTTCGTTTCATCCTGTTGTCTGCAGTCCTTTTCAGCTGATTGAATCCACGATTGTCCATGAGCTTTCATCTACCTCATGTCACTCTCGGAAAAAAGCCCAATTCATCTTTTCCCTTCCGGGTTTCATTCGAGCGATGGTCTGTTTGTCCCTCGGTGTCTCCGATCCATCTCCATTTTCTTCAGCATATTTAATGATGGAAGTCTGAAGTAAGCTGTTAGAAATGCTTTTCATGGCTCACCACGCCAGGTTTCTGACCCATATTTAATATAAAGCGGCTGACTTACCAGTGGTGTTAGACAGAATCCGAATTTCGTTCTTTACACTGTGGAGTGCAGCTGATTTCAGAGTTATGAATTCTGCCTTGCCTTTACGATTCTTGTTTTGATATTCTCATCCATACCTTCTACTATAGTTGACACGATGCTGCCTAGATAAGTGAAAAAGAGGCCTCTTTCAAATTTCTTCCGTTGACAGTGATTGACGCTTGTTACTATTGTTGTTATTGGTTATCGGGTATTTTCATCACTTCCACTTTCTCTGTGCTCACTTGAAGTGTTGTCTCATGAATCTGAATAGCTCAGTGGTAATGTCTCTGACTGCAGCACTCCACTAAGCAACCTGGCTTGAAGTCTCCCAGAGGGGACGTCGTTAGTTCTTTCAAGATTCCAGATGCGCCTTTGTGACTGGCGTGAGTGCCAACAAGTAGGAAAGCTAGGTCCACACAGGGATTCCTGCCTATTACCTTCAACCATGTAAAAACAACAATTCAAAGTGCGGCATAGTAGCTAGCCGCCTAGTTTGATGGATGCCGAAGGCTGGATTCATGACGCTAAATACCATTTTGTGTCTAGTCGTAATATGTTGTGGATGATCTTACGTAATTGAAAGAGCTGACAACTAATTTGTTCATAGTGATGAATAATCATTTGGAAATGCATATTGATAAAAAAAACAAGGAGGAACAAATAGACTAAGAATGGCCTCCATGGAGTTTGTTATAGAACAAAGTCGTACTGCTGGTGAAAAGTGGGATGGGCATGTAATCAACAGCAATCGGTGAGATGTTTCCTCCACTCATATGACGAGGATGCTGTATCTCCATTGTGACGATGGGGGTCACTGTATGAGATTGAAAGAGAGATAGCGATGGCCAAACCAAAACGTGGCATCAGTCCATAAAATCTTTAAAAGTTAGTTTGAGCTAACCACTTGAAGAGGTGTAGATTGTGTGGTTGGCTGGTTGGGGTCCTCGGGATGGAAATTATTGAAGGCTGGAGGCAATTAATGAAATGGCTCATAACCGTTCTCAGTGGAGAAGATTAATTCATTCTTTTTGTAATCTGTCATATCCATTGGAATCTTATTGGTTTTCCATGTTACGATTCTTGCCCCTTCATATTTCTGTTCATAATTGTTCTTTCGAATCTCTTTGTTTTCTACTTTTTGTCTTCCTTATATGCTTCATATGGAGGGAGTGCAACAAGTGGAATTGCTGCTGCACTTCTGTGGAAAGTAATTTGTTGAAACTAGTTAGTCAGGAGACGAGGCAGGGGGTTAGTTGGGGTTAATCCCGTAAAATTGTACATTCTGATTTATCTTGTTGTGACAGTCCTTAGCCAGTGGTTAGATCTTATGTAGTACGAGCACAAACTCTAAAACTACTTCAAACACAGGTTGTGTGTGTATTAATGTCCGGCCTGAAGCACTGCTGTCCGTTGGGCTGTGCAGTCACGCAAATCTACTAATGCTCCACACTGTTTCACGTACCCCAAGAAAAGTCACTCAGTCATTATTTCATGTGTTTTCGATTTTTTCAGAGAGAATTATGGAAAATCTCCATTGCATGTAAAACGAGGCGATCGATCCAAATATAAGAGTGATATTCGGTTAACGTCATCTGAATTGTTTGAAATAGTGCTTAAGGTAAGTAGATGGATGTGTGTGTACGCATTTTAGGCTTTCAAACATGTTGAGGCTTTTGTTTTTGTGTATCCAGTCATCTGAAGTGTGATGACAGCCAATGGTTGTCCGACAAGGATACCCAGTGTCCCCATTTTCTTTTGGTTTCATGGATCTACTGGCATTTTCTGTTCTTCGGTAACGTGAAATCAAAGCTCAGAGTTAGTGCCAGTGGATTTTTATTGCTGATAACCCGAATTGTGGTGGATAGACGCAATGAAGACTAATTCTGGTGGGCTGCAAACATGATGAGGGGCGAAAGCTGCTCAGTGTGTGTCTGCAACGACAAAACCAAAGGAGATGAAAAGTGATATCGGTGATATGTGTAATGCCAGACGACTATGTTTACTTTATTTGGGAAACAGGTTTGCAAAAGGACAAGTAATAAGCGAGACAATCTCCTAAAAGAACAACGCTTTGATTACCCCTCTCAGAATAGAAGACTGAAACACTTTGAAGGGAACACTGAGGAGCAACTTAACTGACCTGTAGTCACTCACAATTTACCCAGTGTGACGTCAAACCCGATCAATTTTGGAACAAATCAAATCCCCCACTGAGTCTCGAAGGCGGTCAGCATCTGTTGTTTCAAACGCTAAGGCGTTATGCCCTAGACCACTGTGAGCCACGATGTTCACCTTTTGTGCTTGGTATCTCTGTTGATATGTTGGCCGTTAGCGCAGATTTTGCGATGATGTCTCATTGGCGGGGCTAGGGTGGTGTTACATGAAGACCCAACTGACGAGTCTTCTAGATTGTACAAAATACACAAGCTTTGTCTTCATGAATTGTTCATCAATGTCAATCGAACAAGATATGTCTAAACTCCACTGTATTTCAATCTCGAAGTAAGGTACACAAACAAATGAATGCGGTGGCAATGGGATCACCAATATCCCCAATAGTTGCAGCAAACATGTGTATGGATAATTGAGAACATAAAGCTCTTAGAACGTGCTCTTGAGTAGGTTATAGTGGAGATATGTGGATATGACAAATTCACTGTGTTAAAACCTGAACATATCAACCCTCAGTTCTTCACACTCATATAAACTCAATAGTAGACAGAATCCAATTGACATTTCAATCAGAAAATTGACAAGGTGAGTTAATTATGGCAATATGCTGTAAAATAAAACGGATACTAGCATTTATAGATGAAACCTGCACACTGATGAATACTTAGACTCAAATTAGTCCTGTCCAGAGTCGTCGGTAAAGGAAGCTAGGTTTAGTTAAATCTTGTTTGTATAATCGGGCTAGGTGCCTAACTAGTAAATGAATGAAATCAAACAAATTAAGAAAATGTTACTAGTGACTGACTAAACTACCCACCAGAGTTTATTCAGAAATGCATAAGAAACCATTGAGAAAATAAGATTAGTAGTGAAAATGATCAAAAATAATATAGACTTGAAAGCCTCTGTTTTAGTACTGTCGTATAAGCAAGAAACGTCTCAGTGAGGCTGGAACTAGTTGGGGTGGCATTAAAACCAAGCAACCAGCTGTCTCAGAGATAGAATTTGTCGGCTGCAGGACCCAATAGATCTAATTAAGAAAAAAAATTTAGCAAAATTTACCCAATAGCATATGATAACTGTGGGACAAATTACATTAGACTAAACCTAAGTTCTGCGTCACTCAGTGAGTGAGAGAGTCAATTAGGCAGAAATCAATGTATTTACCATCATCATCATTATTATTTTTTATTTTTTTCCTTTTTTGTCACAGGAGCCACTCCTCTACGGTGAACACGTGGATCTGCTTGACAGTGGAACACAATCATCACAAGAAACCATGTACCCACGAGGAGAAAGAGCTGTCTCCGAAGTTGTATTCAATCATTATGCTGTAGGTTGTCTAAAGTAGTAATAATAATAATAACCGTAAATTCGTTTGCTATTGATTATCACTTTATCTCTGTGTTGTATGTAATTACTTCCACTGAGATCATAACAACCACCTCTTGTGCTTCAGTGGAGGGTACTAATTGTTGTTGTCTGAGTATACAGGTATATTTATTCAGCTGACTGATGAGTCCCCAACGGAACGAAATGCACACACACACATGCTGTGGATTATACACTAGTTCGAAACCCGCTACACGCAGCCTTGGAAAGGTTCATCAGCTTTCTCACGGAATCAAAAGGTGTGACTTATTACTGCTATCTGCCTGCAGTGCGTGAAATTGCAAGTAGTAGTTGTCGTTGGCTGATACACCATTGTAGCTTCAGTGTACTTCTTCTAGAGGTGAGCTGACGTGTGAGACCAAAGTGACAATGAGCATTATTACAGTCAGTGGTAGTCAATTCAGTACATTATGGACACTTAGAGATGTGCTACAAACATTACTTCCTCATATTTTGTGGGATATTTACTACTTACACGCCAAAACTGAAGCAGCTGGTGGTTTTGGAGTTATTTTAAGGGTCCGTATTTTCGGCCCAAGCCTTTGACCTGAAGTCTGTCAAAGAAGAGCATTCCGGTAATCATTTGATCTGTTCAAATTCTACACCCCATTCACAGGTACCAAGGGTTTGGAATAATCGGAGTTTCCTAACAGCCCTCGATAGAAGACTATCATTTCCTTCACCAGTGGTGGTTGGGTTATAAGCGCCAGACGTTCTCATTCGCCGTTTCACTCATTTTTGTCAAGAACACCTGCCCCGGTGCATGAAAGCAGTGAAGCGAACTTGGTTGATGACATTTACAAACGCGTGGCCGCATTTCCAGAGGGCGAGGTAGACCGCAGCCTACCCATCCTTTCTGAACCGTATTAGGTCGTTATAGTAGGGTTGTCACATAGGGTTACCAATGTAGGTGTAAGTCTTATCGTGTCAGTAAGGTATGAGTTCCTTCGTCTTTGCTGATATATGTACAGGTGGCTTACTGACTGACAGTCGCCAATCATCATGAAGCCTACATTACAAAAGACATACTTGACGATTTCAAAACTATCTAATGTTCGTCTATTGATTGTGAATACAGGAGCAGGATGAAACAAAGGATCTCCGTTTTACTTTTCGTCGATTGGTTCGTGATTTTCTTATCAACCGAATAGGCTACGACAGACTTTCATCAACAACTGTTTCCCTTGACTCGATGGTGACGATCGGATGGCTGAGTGAGAGACCAGAAAAGACTAACGACAAAGGGAACTCTAGCAGGCAAAGAATTAAACAAGAACCTATCACCAGACTTACATGCCGAATTCAAATGGTAATGGTTTGGACATATGCTGAGGAGAGTGTTGAGACGTCAAGTGGGAGCCGAATAGGGAACGACGATTTGAGCGGCCTATCGAAATGGGACATGGGAGAGATCGTTTAACGGCGGCGGAGACGAAATTTTCTGGGTAGTCGTGAAGCTAGCGTGGTATCCAGTTTGAACGCGAAAGGGAGGAGAACAGAGTGAAGTGAGTGAGTATATGTTGCTAATGGCATCGTCAAGGAAGTCGTGGAAGAAACCGAAATGTCAGGAGGAGTTCGATTATCTTAGTCCGGTATATATGTTAATGAAGGGCTAATAAATGTGATGCATGAGTCCCCGCTTTTAAATCGATTTGAGTTGAGTTAGAACAAATGTCGGTTCATAGTGTGACGTAGATCCATGTTATCTCGATGGTTCTCCTCAGCCGCATACAACCTATGCTATATTAAATAAGGCAAGTTATAATACAACTTTAACATGCATTTTGTCTATTACATCATGAATATAACCTTCAGGGTTATCATAAGGAATTCATAGTCAAACGAAACACAAGGATGATAAGACTATCTCAAATTATTAGCATATATAAACACAAGAGAAAAATTTCACGCGAAATACTGTACAGATTTATTGTTAGGGTGGTGCTATTATTATGATTGTTCCCTTGGGTTCCGAGTGTAACATAAGCATTCAGCCGGGGCACATCTTCACTTTGTGCTAGTCTTCACAGTCCTGCCTAGGTGACCCTACGATTGCCCATAAACTCACCTCCTCCTGCTCCTCCTCAACATATGATATGAACCATGTCACCCTCAAAGCGACGCGTTACTTGTCGTTTCCAATTCGGATTCCACTCGAGAAATGGCCTGGCATGCAATGTCACCGGACGGTCTTCTCTGCGCGTGTTCCACCCATATCTATTTTCCTCGGGATATTCGTTAGGCAACGATTCGTTGCCACAGTTTCTTCTTTCTAATTCTTCCTGACTATTTGATTTTCATGATGAAGTGAAACCAGCTGTTGATCAAAGTCTACAGTAGCCAGTTGAAGTCCTTTTCATGGCTCACCTTGCCAAGTTCCTGACTAATATGGGAGATCTGACTGACTTAACTATGGTGTTGGGAATCCGAATTTTGTTCCCTATGCTGAATTCAGAAGATTTCCAAACTGAGTTCAGAGTGATGAAGGTCTACCTTGCCTTCCTGATTGTGGTTTTGACACCCTCATCCGTACCGTCTGCTGTAGTTGACACGATGTAACCTTGATAAGTGAGTTTTTGTCTTTGATAGTGATTGGTACTTGTTGTAGTTGGTTAGTAATTTTCACCACCTGTGTCTTCTCTTTGTTCACCGGAAGTGGTGTCTTCGCTACCTACTTCTTCTGCCAGTTTGTTGGCTTCCGCTTGTATGTCTTCGAGTTTGTGTGAAATTAGCCATGGGTCATCCACGAAATCCAGATCTCGTAGAGTCTTCGTATCAGTCTAACGTGTTCCTGTCCCCTCGCTTCCCACGTTTGGTGTTCCTAATAACCCAGTCCACCACAATTAGGAATATCATCGGTGATAGTAGACAGCCTTGTCTAACTCTTGTATGCACTTCAGAGGTATGGTTGGGTTTTCCGTTGTGGAAAAGCCTGACACATGACATTGTCATATAGCCAGCTAGCTGTGGAATGAGGTTGATAAAGATTTGTTGCATGCCATAGTGGTGATCAGGTAGTGATAATTACGCAGTCAGATTTATTAAAATACTGTTATAGTATAACTCATAAGATTAGGAAATCGAATTATCGGTGTATACGAAGTTGAATGAAATGATGGCGATGATGTAATATGGTGAGTAGAATATGAAGGATTAGAAAACTTGAGTCTAATATAAAAGTTGAGAGAAAAATGATAGGTTGGAGGCGGGGGGGGGGGGAGCAAGAGAAACATATTGGTGAAATGAGAAGATAAAGAGTTACTATTATTATTATTAATCCCTTACGTTCCTAGTGGAACATGAGGCTTTAATGACACATCTCCACTTTCTTCTATTTCCTGCCGTCCTCTTCAGGTGGGTCTACGGTTGCCCATAATCTGTCATCTCTTCCTCCTCTACACTCCATATCACCCTCGCACTGACGATCAACTCATCGCTTCCGATTTGCATTCCACTCAAGCGATGGCCTTCATTGCGCGCAATGTCATTTGATGGTTCCATCAACGTATGCCCGATCCATCTCCATTTTCCCTACATATTACTTGAGCAACGTGTTCTTGGCTGGTTTGTCGCCATAGTTTCTTGTTACTAATTCATTCTGGTCGACCATTTGTTCTTCAGTATGGAGCCAGTGAAGGCAGCTGTTGATAGGAGTCTGCAAGTGACTGTTGGAAACGCTTTTCGTGACGCGCTGACCGAGTTTCTAGCCCATGTAGAAGAAGTGACTGACTTCACATTTGTGTCGAAAACCCGGATCTTGTTCTGTATGCTGAATGGGTGCAGAAGATTTGCAAACTGGTTTCAGGTTGTATCTTGCCTTTCCAATTCTGCCTTTGAGATGTGAATCCGTTCCACCCGCCTTTACTTGATACGATGCTTCCTAGACAAGTGAAGGAGGTAACCTCTGTTAAATCTCTCCCGTTAATGGTGATTGGTGCTGGTTGCAATTGGCTGGTTATTTTCATCACCTCCGTCTTCTCTATGATCACCTGGAGTCCTGTCTTCTGCGGCTGCTTCTTCAGCCAGTTTGTTGCTTTTTGCCTGTAAGTTTTCGAGTTTGCGTGACATTAGATGATCTGCGAAATCCAGATCTTCTAGAGTCTTCTTATTGGTGGTCCGGCGTATTCCTGTCTTCTCGCTCCCATGCACAGTCTGACTCATAATTGAAGAGAGTTACTACTAAGCGGGAAGTCACCTGAATAATTGAAGTCGGATTACAGATTATTCTTGGGCGCATAGATTAGGTTTCAGTCGTTTTATTGTGATCGCCTCAGCAAAATAAAGAATAAAACTTGGACTGTTTTTCTGTTTGTCGATTATTTTGAATGCTCGCAATGCCTTTGCTCGGTATTCAGCGCCTATCAGGTGTTTTCGTCATTTACGAGTTCAAACTATTCTCTGGCTTTAGTCGAATGCCCTTTTGGTGCATTTTCAAAGAAACTGTCGTTAGAACCTTCTTCTTTGTCATCTAATTTAGTATAGTGTGGATGAATTCACTGTTATTCCCTTTTTGATTGTATCTTTTTGTACTGATATTGATTGCCTCTTTCCTAATCTTTCCTCTATTTTTTTGAACTATCTGTCTTTCTACTTCTTGGACTTTTAGGGAAATGGTGGAATACGCTTCAGTAATCCCCAGACATACGTACAGCGTATCTTTCCTCTTTTGAATACCTTACAAAAGAATTTTGGTTGTCGCTGCTATGCTACAGCTTACTTGTTTCCCCCAAAATTCACTGGATTCACCGTAAATCGATCGCATGTGGACCTGTTCATCCTACAACAACAAGGAAAACAAAAAGTGCAAGTTTCAAGGTAATTAGATTATTATTATTATTATTACTCCAAGTTTGATCACTCATTGATTGACGTCTACGAAGACCTATAAAAGACCAGTACTGGAGTACTAAACAACTTTCGTCTTCCTAGTTTGAGACTCTTCAGCGATAAACGCCCCGACCTCTTTTTCTGATTTAAACGAGGCAAGGCCGTTGACATCAGTCCGTGCTCAAACTTGGAACAAATCAAATCTCCCTACAAACTAACTAACTGTTGAAAACTAATCTGATGATGCTCACTAGTGACTGACTGGCTACAGGACGAAGTTGACTCTTCTTCCCATTGAGAAGTGGTGCATAGTTGGGTTCTTCCACTGTGCTATATGGCGTTATGACAGTTACACGCCTATGACATTGGCTGGTGCCGTTAGTCGCGCTAAAATCATGAATTTGTTCAAGTCGGAATTCCTAGGCTGTCCACCAGATCGGTCCTGTCCTGAATGGCCTACGAGGTTAACCTGCATCTGGAAGGTTATGGGTTCTGACGCCTGTGAGAGGGGAGGCGTGCGTGCATATGAAGAATCTCACTCCTAGGCGAAATAGCCGTCCAGTACACCCGTGCTGGTTTTCAATGTTTCTCTGACTGACATCAATTCGCGATCAAGCTTTTGACAAATAAAATCCCCACAAATTAATTCTTGAGAATCGTTATTATTGATATTTTTTGCCCTTCCTTTTCACGCTGTGAGTGGAATATGAGGTTTCAGCAGGAGCACAGACTAAAAACCAACTCGTCTCCCGTTCGGGTCGCATCCGATGGCCAGAGCTTGTGTCACTTTACTCCATGGTCTTCTCAACTGGTACATCTGATCCATCTGCATATTTGATGGACAGGCAGTAGGTTCTTGGTTAACTGGTTGTCAGAATTCCTTGTTATGTATCTTTTGATATTCGTTATGGAACGAAGACAGCTGTCGGAAATACTTTTCGTGATGTGCATATCCAGTCTGTGAACCATAAAGATGCACTGAATAAAATGACCTTAGTGTTGAAAAGCCAAATCCTGTCTCTTGCATACTGAGTGTAGTAGATTTCAGACACCGATTTCATAGTCTTGCTTTGTCGATCCTCACTGACTGACTTTGAAATCCTTATCTGTGCTGTCGTCCACAGTTAAAACGATGCTGTCAGGGCGGTTAGATAAGTCGAATAGGCGAATTCCTTTAGATTCCGCCTTCTGATAATTGTAATTGTGCTTGTTGTTGTTGCTGTTGTTGATTGGCTGGGTGTCCTCACTGTGTCTTCTCTCTGTGCTCATGTGAATAGTTCTATCTTCTCTGTACCTACCTCTTCTGCTAAACTTGTTGTCTGGTTTTCGCCTGTAGATCTACACCGTTTGTACAACACTAGGTAGGCGTTAATCATCCACGCGAGGTTCAAATCTTCCCATATATATGGTCGGTCGAATGTGTACATCTCCTGTCTTCCCGCTACACACGACAGTCAGTAAGTATCATCCGTGATACTGTGAGAAATCTTGTCTAACACTTTTGTCTTCACATCAAAGGCTCCGGTGTGATTTTCGTTGTGTATTCCTTAACGTGCAGCATCATCAGTATAGAGCTGTTAATAAATAAGGTTGTTGATAACGGTTTGTAACACTTCGTTGGACTAAAGCAATTCTCAAATTAATTCACGATTAATAATATCTGTGGTTTTTTATATGAGGGCTGATTGGGAGGGAATGGTTTAACACACCAGCCAACAAATGCAAATACCAGCAGCAAACAATGATTTCGGAGCATATCGTCAGAAAGCAAGGCAGCAAAACCACATAGAATAATACACTATATTCAATCAGAGAAAGTGTTGAGTGAAGTGTGTAAGCATATTAAAAACAGGGTGTCCGGTCATTTCGAAGTCAGTTTGCGCCTATAAACGACCTGATAAGGCCGACAGTGGGTTGACTTTTATCGAATCTGTATGTATCACAGCCCTCACACAAACTATGAGACAATTTTGTGGGTGTGGCACGTCCCGCTGCCCATAATATACCAAGTTTGTATCTTAATAATGTATAATTTAAGTTAGGTTAGGAAGAGATTAAGGTTAAGGATAGGGTTGAATTAGGACCCCAAGTTTTCTTCGTTGCTCAATCGTCTTCGGCGTAGCGTCCCAGCCTCTTGGTGTCTACACTGCTGAACTTTGCTAATTAAATATGTGTAACCGCTGTATCATCCCACTAAATTTTTGTAACTCTCAATTTTCAGGAGTACAGAAGGAGAGATGGCAGGTGAAAATAAAGGTGAGTTTGTTTTTGTGTATTTCGTGGTTCTAATTTAGACAATATTATAATGATAATTAGGTTACAAGTGGAACACAGAGCTTCAACTGTGACAAACCTCTATTCTATCCTCTTCCCTGCAGTTCCTTATATCTAGCTGTACGATTGCATATAGGCTCCCACCTCCTCTTCATGCGGTCTCCACGTCACCCTTGGACCCACATTCAAGTCATCTCCCCCCCTGGTGTTCCACTCAAACGGTGGTCTGGCAATGTCTGGGAATCAGATATAGTCCCGTCAGACAGACTAGTGTGGTTTGTAAGCCACTGATTGTCCCAGTCAGTTTATGAGAAGGAAGACAAGTTTTCTTGTTATCGACGGATATAATACTATCCAGAGGTCCAGCTAAAATAATCATGCGTAGATTACGTGGTGCTTGGGAGAAACAGGAATGATAAAACCAGGCAGGCTTAGGCGAAGATGAGAGTGTATTGATCATGTTTAGCTGTGGAGGTAGTGACGAGAAAGTGTATCTTACCCTAGTCACAAGGCTCTCCAATGGAACTCACGCAGCGATGTAAGAAAAAGCTTCCGAAGAGCTTTCATCTGAAGTATGATAGTAACCAACGATGTCCACCAGGGATCTCCACTGTACCTTGTTTGCTTACTTTCATCATTAGTGGAATTGACCCTAACTGACGTAAGTAACTTGAAAGAGGGCCTTGTTACCAGGGGCAAACAGTCTTGTCGACTGTCAAATGTAAGATGATGATACTGCAGGATTGGAGTACAAAACTTCTAGCTTAAAGGTGGAGAGTGTGTAGTAGTTGAATCGCATCAACCGTCGAATCGCATAAATAGAGGTGAGGGTGTAAGATGAGTAGTACCACAGTACAGTTTGTAAGTGATGTTAAAATGAAATGTATGTTCCGTGAAAAATCGAACCGTTGAAAATCATTCTAATACTTACTGTTAACTGAACTGACACATGCCAGTTGGTGATCTAAACTTTGAAATTAATGGTATCTCTCTCTACTCCTATTAACCGTTTTGAAATCATTTTGTTTTGACTTTTGTTTTACTTTTAGATATTTTAACCTTTGCGATGAATCCTGGTGACTTACTTTACATACCCAAAGGTTCTCAATTCAGTATGGCGCCTAATTCCTCTAAACATTCACTTCATGTTTGTATTAGCCTTGATGAAAAGTATACTTGGGCTGATTATTTAACTGAAGTAAGTCAGTCTCTTGTTTTATTTACTTGTTTTGTTGGTGTGATTAGTTGTGTTGTTGTTCCCTCACCTCACTGAATGATGATGGTTTATATATTGCAAAGCAACTTTCATTGGTGGTTTTTCTAGACAACATCTTCACTGCTGAACTTCGAAATGTGTGTGTGCAGTGTGAACTCATTTGAATTCTCCACCACTGCGATAACTGTCTCTCTGTGTCTCTTACAAACGAGGCAGGTTCAAATGATTCCACGCATTTACAACGACTCTGAAGTGATTTTGTCTGCAAAGAGGGAAAATGAAAGCTGCTTCCCGTCATCCAACTTCCCGGGGAACACAATCAACCAGAGCAAAATCACCCCATTTTATCTATAAATCTTCTCTGTTACATGCTGAAGTTGTAATGTTTGTCAGCGTAACACGAATGGAAATCAGTCGTGGCAACGGACATTTCTCTGTTATGTGAAAATAAACATGGTGTCATTATTGGTTGATGGTGGGGGACTAGTTGTGTGGAATCCGTGACGTACATTTCATCCTGTTTGTAGTGGTGTTGTCATATAGGGTTACCAATGTAGGTGTAAGTCTTGTCGTGTCAGTAAGGTATGAGTTCCTTCGTCTTTGCTGATATATGTACAGGTGGCTTACTGACTGACAGTCGCCAATCATCATGAAGCCTACATTACAAAAGACATACTTGACGATTTCAAAACTATCTAATGTTCGTCTATTGATTGTGAATACAGGAGCAGGATGAAACAAAGGATCTCCGTTTTACTTTTCGTCGATTGGTTCGTGATTTCCTTATCAACCGAATAGGCTACGACAGACTTTCATCAACAACTGTTTCCCTTGACTCGATGGTGACGATCGGATGGCTGAGTGAGAGACCAGAAAAGACTAACCACAAAGGGAACTGTAGCAGGCAAAGAATTAAACAAGAACCTATCACCAGACTTACATGCCGAATTCAAATGGTAATGGTTTGGACATATGCTGAGGAGAGTGTTGAGACGTCAAGTGGGAGCCGAATGGGGAACGACGATTAGAGCGGCCTATCGAAATGGGACATGGGAGAGATCGTTTAACGGCGGAGGAGACGAAATTTTCTGGGTAGTCTTGAAGCTAGCCTGGCATCCAGTTAGAACGCAAAAGGGAGGAGAACAGAATGAAGTGAGTGAGTGAGTATATGTTGCTAATGGCATCGTCAAGGAAGTCGTGATGCATTATCCAGTCCACTGCAATTAAAAATGTCATAGGTAATAATAGACAGCCTTGTGTAAGGCCTGTATGCACTTCAAAGTCACTTCTGATTATTCTGTTTTGGATCACCTGACACGTGATTGGCATATAGCCAGCTATTGAGTGAAGTTGGTAAAGACTTGGACACTCCTCGCCGTAGTGTTTAATAGTTTTCCAGTTACTTCTTGTTCAACGCTGTCAAAGGTTTTTTCTTAATCGATGAAGTTTCGCTACCATTCTATGGTACTCACAATTAACCACCACCACCAGTTGCATTAACTTCTGTCTTCCCATGCGAACGTCTGCGTACGGGAACTTGGGAATGGGGAACCATTCTAAACCTGTTTAACTTCCAGAATGTGAAAGGATTGACTGTCGTATGAGCCTAATTTGGTCACCAGATACCATGAAAACGCAGCACCTGACGCTGCTCCATTGTAGTTAAGAAATCATGTCAGAGGCTTGGTGGGCAGAAGTGGCCCTTCCTGCTACATTATCGAAGTACGAATAGTTTCTCAGCCTTCTCCCAACCAATGTGACAATGATTTATAAATGACTACAACTGTACGACTAACCCATACAAGTTGAGTGGTCAGCGGTGAGTTTAAAATTCCCTACGAAATACATGTATAAACGGTCATTTACAACAAAACACATAAACAACTGCCGTAGAATTGGATCTTCATCACGAACTGACTGATATCATTTCGGAGAATAATATCAGATAGTATTAAATGATCCTGACTATCTTTTGTAACTTCATCAGCAGTACAAACCACGGATTCTCTGTCAGTACGGATCCATAACCAGAGGACTGTTGGCTTCCAGTACAGTGATGCTCGCCGCCCATTCACCAATTCTGAATTAAATGTGCACAATTTTCTGGCAATTCGACTAACTGCCCCTGTCTCGGATGTGAAGAATTTACATCAGATTTCGTCCATTAGGGTTGACGCAGTTTCCAAAATAAATCAAGTGGTGATCAACACGCTTAACCACTACTTATTCTCTATTTTTAAACTGTGAACCTGTTTAGTCCATTACTGCAGCATCAGTTTGCATTCAACAGGAACAAATCCTATGCTGTACATTTGAAGATTTCTGCTAAAAACATCTTCAGAAGACTTTCCATTTTGTCAGCGTCTTCACCCAAGGGAACAAATAACATTCGCACAATCGTGGTAGACAAGACTGTTGGCCACTGGTAACAAGTCAATCCGAGGTTGTCACAAGGCGGCAGTCAGTTATACCGTTGGTAGAGGATTTCAGTAAGCTCATTGACTCCTTACTTAAAGATGGAGAGCGAAGTAGTATAGCTTGTTGACCACTTCACTTTTTGGGAAGTCGCATCAGCCTCATCAGTGGATTGATTACTAACTCGTTTGGCATATTCCCGCCAACTTACGCCATCTCTGGTGTAGACATGATATCCAGTTTTGATCACAGGTGTATGCATTCTCTCTTCCGTAAGTTAGGTGGTATTATATGGTGAGCAATACTTGAAGGTAGGCATCGAATGCTATGTACGGATGGTAAGTCAATCAATAAGGTCGTGAAGCTACATCGATTGAAATTGCTTGGACACGTGTGCCCTATACCAGGTCATCGTCATTCTTGGTGGGCAACGTTAGTTGAATAAGAGCCATTGGTGGTCAGACTAAAACATTGCATCAGTCGATATAATCCATAACAGTTTAAGCCATGTAGAAAAGTGTAGGCTGATTGGTTGGTCGGCGTCCTCAGGATGGTAAAAGACAATGTCGGGAGACATTCGGTGATATGGCTCAAAATGATCGTTCTCAGTTGCTCAGATGTACATACTCTGTGTGATCTGCTACATCCAATGAAACCCTATTGTTTATCCGTGATACCATTCTTCCCTCCTCACATTTATGCTTATTACCGTTCTTGAGTGAGTTGAATCGAGGACAGGATGTAAGTAGTATACAACTATTGATTTCAATCGATCCATCAGTAATACATAAATAGTCTACTCTTGACTTAAATAAACTTTTTACTTTTCTATTCGTTTCTCTCTGTGTTGTTATAGTTATTCCCAATTATGATAAAATCTGCTGCGGAAAATGATGCCGACTTTAATCAGTCACTTCCAATAAAGTGTTTCAAAGATATTGGTTCACTTTACACTATGTCAGATGGCAATAGAGAGGTGGGTGATTTTATTGATTTATCATAAGCTTACCTTCCGACTGCGGGGGGGGGGGGGTGGAGTAGGTAGCGATATCAAGCTTTCAGCTTTGAAGTTTCAGCAATGGAGGTCGATATTGTGCCTTTTCACATAGTAGTAGGTTTCTTAGCTAGTCTCTGACATACCGGCTAAGTTGTAATGAGGTGGTTTGGGACTGAATCGGTGCGTTGGTCGCCAGAAATATGAGCCTCAGATTATGTGCGTGTTCCGTTGTTGCCGAGCATTCAATCACTGAGCTACGGACGAACGAACACACAAGGATCGGACTGTAGGACTTTCAGGTTACAAATCTAGACCGTTGACCACTGGGACTTTTGACCAGTACTCTTAATTGTGGCCACATTGCCAGCCAGACTTAACAATCAAACTTCCTGAAATATAGATATGTTTGTGTTACCATGGTGTTACTGCAGAACATAAACAAGTGATCTCTCATCTATGGACTCTGAAGGGCACGGAGCACATAACATGTTGAACTTCTAAATTTTATAATCACCTCCGACTTTTAAAACTGGCGGCACTCCATCGGTGTGAAATGTATGTGCAATGACTGTGAATTTGTAGAATATTGCCATTGACTGACTTGTCTTGATAAGAAAATAGGGATCATGGTGATAATGAATTTGTAACACCTCCGGTCGCCACCCCACGCTAATTATAGAAGTGTTGGAATTCATCACTTCGACATTCGGAAATAAATTCGTTAGAATAGCTGATTACTTGTCAACTTGTGATAGCACGTGGTGAATATAATCAGACTCATCGTCAATTGTTGGTTTGCAGGGATTCGATTGGTTATAGATTTGACCACAAGTCGACATCAATTAGACAAACATTAGAAACCAACAGGGAGTACCGATTTTCCAACACTTGAAAATCAGTCTGATGGTCACTAAAGACTGGCTCCACATAGAAAGTTACCTGGATCTGCAGTAAAAAGTTGTGACCAGAAGGGTCCACTATGTCGGGCAAGAAGACGGCTACTCGCCTATGTGATAATGCCTGGCGGCTGCACTGTATAAAACTATCGCGACTTGGCAGAGGCTAGAATTCATAAGCCATCCAGTCAGGTTCCAGTGGCTGAATCGTCCATGAAAGCGCCTTGTAACCGTAAGGTCCTGCGTATGACTGATGAGTCGCAGATTGGGACGAAGTAACTGTCCAGTATTCCTGTACTGGTTTTTCAATGGTTGTCTGAAATCTGCTCGTCATCCAACCTGTAATAAATTCTTGGTTTATTCATAGTTAGAATTCATTATTGTGCTTATTATATCCTTTCCTACGGGCAATCTGATCTACATTATCTAGTGAGCGAAGTTCGTGGATGATCAAAAGTTGACAGTAGCCTGGTGGCAGTGCTTTTCGTGAAACATCTACTTCAATTTTTTAATGAGACATTCACATCGAGTGACTTGACATTCGTGTTAGAAATTCAGGTCTTTGCTCTGTTGATAAGTGAGTGCTGTTGGATATTAGGCGACACCGATTATTTCAGAGTAATAATGAGAATCTTTGTCTTGTTTTCCTTTCCTCATGCATGACTTTAATGTCGTCGCCTGTGTCGCCGCCTCCGTCTATAAGTTTGAAACGATGCTACCCCCAGGTTTGATAAATGAAAGAGGTGACGACTTCTTTAACATTACTTCTGTACTCGGTCAGGTATCTTCGCTACCTCTTCTGTCAACTTGGCGATTATCCCACATATATTTATTTACAAGCTTTTGTGAGATTTCATATTGCTAGTAACACGGAATTTTTTTGAATCTTTTCATTTCTTTTTCTTTGGTGAAAAATTTCTAGATGGTTGAACGTGAACAGGAATTTCGTCAGCGAACCGTTGAGCTATTGAAACGCTTAGTGAATAAAATTGAATGTCGGGAAATATTGACAGTCAGCACGTGTGAAAACAGGGAGTTTGGCAATAAGAATAACAACAGTCAATCACGACAACAAAACTTTCAAGTGAAAACCACCTCCTTGCCTAACTGTGGTGATTGACTATTTTTATCTTTGTATTGTTTAAATACTTACTGTTGTTTGTTAATATATTTATTATTTTGATTTGAAAATATAATTCCGCCAAATACAAATTCCTAAATTCATCCTTCTCAGTGTTTTGGTTGAGTTTCTGTAATTCGGTCATTGCGAAATACAATACTACTAGTACAAATAACAATCACATTTTGGCGTCGCAATGGAATTAAATAATCTTGGAAAGTTTCCTATAAATGGTTCACCGCGGTCGGTCGATACAGATGACGAAGTCAGCGTCCTTCCTGCTAAAGGGGCAAATCGAAATCAGTAACCTACCTTCAAATACAGGCTACGAATGGAAAACCTACTGCTACCATTGTTAGGAAGTACGTCTATCTGAAGGTAAGTTTACGCAAACCTATTCAGTGGATATTCCTTATAATGACGGTACTATGTGGAGTAAGTAACAATATGATTGCACACCTTTTGTTAGACGTTGAAGTTAGAGACATTGTACGTGACTTTTGTTTGAAACGATTCATGATGGAATATAGATAACTTCTGAGTACAATCTAAAATGATAGAGAAGATTTGTAGCTCAGGTGGATAATTTTGATGTGGTTGTGTTCTCTGAGCTGGATATCCAGCTCAGAGAACACAACCACATCAAAACAATCTAAAATACTGTGTACTGTTGGACGCTTTGCCTTATCACTGGTCTATTCTGTCTACTTGCTTCACACATAACCGTGTTGAATACTTTGGATCATCTCTGGAACCTCTTATCCTCATCCGAGGACTATTCTACAACTGGTACGCAGCTTCTGCTAGTAGACACGACTCCAGCAGTGAACGCTTCTGTGGATTATATTAATAATTTTTAGCCGTGGAATTAGCTGTTTACCCAAGTAACCGTTTAATTAATATAACGCATTACTGTATTTTTTATAATATACTGTTACACTATCATCTCATTGATTTGGATTTTTATTCGCATCCTTGTTATGTTATTGAGCTAGCTAGACAGTCCCCTACAAGTATGCCTACCATTGGCTCAGACCCGCTCAACCATCGTGATCTACTCGTAGATGTCCGCCGAAAACGACTGATAGACGGTACTACCAGATTGTTTATCAAAGGCATCATCTACGTGGGTCATAGCTTGTCACTGGTTAGGAAGAAGGCAATCTTTGATTCAACTTTTCAGCCGATTGTCTGCGAGTACTTGGAAACTAACTGCCTGTCTAACGATCTACCGAGCATAATCAGCAATGTTATGCACCACATCACAACCTCAGGACAACTCATGACATCTAAAGTCCGACGACTTCCTCCTGACAAACTCAGACTTGCTGGGAAGGAATTCCACCATATGCTCACCCTTGGCATCACCTGGCCATCAAATAGCCCATGGGCATCCCCACTTCATATGGCACCGAAAAAGATAGCAACGACTGGTTGCCCAGAGGTGGTTCCCGGCGAGTGAACGGCAAAACAATCTCTGATTGCTATCCATTGCCTCACGAATATGACTTGATGGCAACATTATCCGGCGCAACTATATTCTCGAAAATAGACTTGGATTTTTGGTAGGCCGTACATAAATGGCAAGCGTCCACCTGTTGATTTCAGTTCACTGTACTGTCGTAGTTTATTAGTTTCTTCCTTAGAAGTTCTTTGAGACAATAATTAACTTTATTTTCAAATGAAATTGTGTCACCCTTTTATTGTCTACTTGGAATTTTTCTGTGTAGTTTAGAATTGTCACCGTTTTATGTATATAATCGGCTTTGTTCATTATAACAACCCCATTGCCTTTATCAGGTCTAAATATGACGATATCATCGTAATCGTATAGTTTCTTCAGAGATATTCTGTGCTCTTCGATCAATATCTTCTGCTTCTCCATTGGTGATATCTGGTGTTGGCTAGCTATATCAACTACTTTAGCCATCCTCTTTTATCTTCGTCTAAGGGTGTCAGGACGTAGAGTCGATGGTATAAGTGCTTGAATTATGCTTCTGTGTCTATACGATTGATGTGCTTCATGTGGACCTCAAAATTGAATCTCAGAGATAAGGCTTTTAATTCAATTTCGCTTGATTGCAGTTTTGCTAGATTAGCTTTCAGGTGCTTCTGGGAATTCTTCAACTAGATTTTCCGCGGATTGAGATGAAGAAGTCTCTTCTATGTGTACGTGTCAATCAGGGGTTTCCGTATCTGTAAATACGGAAGAATACTTTTTGTACCGGGAGGCTTCTTTTGATTTTGCAAATATAACTTTGAATGAATTCTAGGTGCATGTAGACTGACCAGTGTTGAATATATGTGAGGTTCGGTTACAGAACTCTTTATTGATGCATTTATGCGTTTCCATAGCCATCACGAGATAATGTTCTTCGCTAGATGAAAAACGGATTGAACGACCTACGTCTCTCTCTCAACAGTTGTTTTACTATAGGTATTTCTTTGATATATGTTGAAAATAAAGTAGTATTATAATTTGCAGTTAGTAGTTGCAAATCATCCATCTGAGCTACACATATTCTCTATTACTTTAAGTATAATAATTTACTGACTATTTATATCTAAAACTAGAAGAGAGATTCAGAAAGTCATCTTTTGTGAGTTTATATAAAGATTTACATAAATCCGGGGGAACTGTTTTCTCCTGTACATACTGCTGATAAGTCCCACGAAACAAAATCAAACCGTCCCCAGACAAACTAACTCTTGAAAATTTATCTTCTCCATCGTATCTAGGAGATATTTTCTCTGCATACCGATTCTCCATCTTGTTTCTAATGGTTCTCATCCTGTGCTAGTTCTAAGAATTTGTTGATAATAAGATATTTAAACATTTGTTTCGGCTGTCTTACCCCATAAAAGAAACTAAAATAATACCAGAGTTTACTGAAAATATCTGTCTAGAAAGAGAGGAGAATTTCATAAGTATTTTTTGCTTGGGCTTATTTAAAGGTTTATAAAAGCTACCATTAACTTTTTTCCAGTAGTGAATCACCTGAAAAAATGTATGAAATAAACATTTTCATGTGAAACTTGAATTTTCCACTGAGAATAGTCGTTATAAGAATGAAAAAACTACTCAGTGAGTGAACTATTCTCAAGTTTAGACACAATTTTCAAAATAGTGAGGGCGGGGGAGGAAAAGAAATCGATTCTGTACTATGGTGTTTCAGATAGTGTTGTTGGATAGTCTTATAGCTTCCTGGGATTTCTAAATGAAATGAACACTAAATGATGATACTACCCATATCAGGATTATCTGTTGAGACAGTTATGCAACTGAAGCGGAAGAGCTTACTATTAGTATTATCCCCTAGGGTTCGGAGTGGGACAGAGTGCATCAGCAGTATATCAAATTTTGTCCTATTCTCTGCACTCGTCTTTCATTAGCTCCACGACTGCCCATAGGCTCTCATCTCGTCATTCTCACACGATCTGCTGCATGCCACCCCAGACTTATCATTTCGAATTCAAGCTCTACTTTAGTTACTGCCTGGCGTGTAATGTTGCTCAACGGTTTCCTTAGCGTGCGGCGAATCCGTCTCAATTTCCTTAGGCAGATTTATTGGGCGATAGGCTCTTGTTTGGTGCCTCCACAGAGGTCCCTGTCACTTATCCTTTCCAGCCCTCTCGTCAAGTCAGCGAAGTTAGCTGTTGATAAGAGTCTTCAGTTGCCGACTGGGAATGCTTTAAGCGACGCACCAAGTCTCTGAGCCATATAGAAGTACTGACTGACTTGGTATTCGTATAAGAAATTCGAATTTCGTTCCTTGTGCTGGGTGCAGCAGATTTCCACACTGGTTTCACAGAACTAATTGTTTGTCTTGCTTGTTTTTTGTCCTGGCCTCGATATCCTCATCTTTGCCAGAGCCTGTAGTTGAAAAGACGCTGCCTAGATGACTTTTCTCAAATTTCAGCCTTTCACGGTGATTGATGCACAATGTTGTTGTTGTTGGTTATTGCCTGTGAATCTTCGTGTTTCTGTGACACTAGGCATAAATCATCTACAAAGTACAAATCTACTACAGATGTCTTATCAGTCCAAAGAATACCTGTCTTCTCACTCTTCACGGTCCGACTGGTCGCAGTAGGATTTTCACTCTACAGTCAACAATTTGAAGAGTCTACATAAATAAATTCCACATTCTCTCACAAATTCCTAGCACTTCTATGCACCATATCTTCTCATTTCTTTGGCAATTTCTACAGCCTTTCCAGTAGGTTTCAAATATTGTACTGACATTTCATCTCCTCGTACTTATTTTTGGTTTCTCATTGAAAGAAGATACGCGTGGGCTGGATAACTTGCTTTCATTGACACACGTCATTTCGTCTCTATGGATCTTAAAGAGGAGAATAAGTTAAATCTTTATATTTTTGCTATGCTTTGCGGTTTCTACAGAGGTTAAGTTGATTTTCCGTGATAAGATCGCTGGTTCAGCGTTGCCACCTTTTCCGAGCTTCGAAGAGGGGCTAATAAACTAGCGAACTAGGCGAACCAGGTGACTTTCTACAAACCATAACTCTACCTCTACCAATAATTAAACGAAAAATAAATCTGGATGGAGCATCCGTCCTAATTAGAAAAAATCAACACAGAAAGCATTTATAAATTGCATACATTTATTCCCCTTTATGAATTTAACTAAACCAAGAACAACAGTTTTGCAGAATAAAGTGGCACCATTTAGTTGCTTTCTCATCAGCTGCTGCTAACAGCCTAAGTTAATTATTAAGTTCATGTACAGAAAATTTCTAACATACTTGCAAATTCTACATGATGTCGGTTGGCAGGAGGGTCTAGACGTAGTGAATAGTGCTCAGAAAATTACACTTATAAAGTTTTTACAGAGAGGGACTTCAGGTTTAAACAAAGTAAATGCATGCATCCAATGGTGAAGGAGTTACATAATAAAGACAGGAGGTGAGCAACTTATAAATTAGCAGTAACAATGTACTGAGTTCAACCCAAACCATGGAAACAAGAGACAAGCAAAATTACACTATATCCAAAGATTACCTAGTCGAATGAAAATAAAAGAGATTAAAGACACCAAGTTACCACGGCAAGGAAACACTGATAACTACTTCTTTCATGTGT